CACAAGAAACGTGTCAGGGATGCCTTCCTGACAGTTTACCTTCAATTAAAATATTTTAAATAAAAATATAGTAAGTCTAAACAGGCGTGGTGGTGCATGCCTGGAATCCTAGCACTCAGGAGGCTGAGGCAGGAGGAGTCCCTGGGCTACACAGTAAGTTCAAGTTCAGCTTGAACTACACAGACAGACCCTGGGTTGGGTGTCACAGATGTGATTTATTACCTCCCCCAGGATTAACTTCCCCCCACACATCCAGCAGGCCTGCTGTGAGCCCATTCAAAAAGTCACCGGCCTCACACAGCCAGGGCGAGCTGGCCGGCGGGCACAGGCGTCACCTCGAGCCAGAGAACGGGGGATGTTTCTATTTCGTGAAGGCTTTGTGAGGATTAAATAAGAACGTGGACAACAACCTCGGCAAACACAGGAGCTCCTGGCACGCTCCTGTCGGCCCTGCTGTATCAGCAGTCGCTCTAAACACAACACGCTTCCCATAAGGAGCCAGCCCAGAAAGCGTAGGAGGAACAGCTTCCTTGCTATTGCCTGTTTTACCAATTTAAGAAACTGCCAACTTGAGCTACAGTGCAACTCCCACGCCCCCTTCTCAGATTCAGATCCCTTTGTACATGGTCGTGACTCAGCGCTCACGTCATGCTGTCGTGAACGTTCTTTCTCCCCACACGCTGTGTAGTTGTGAGATTACAATCTTCTTCAGACACGGTTTTTTTTCTTTCTTTCTCTCTCTCCTTCTTTCTTTCTTTGAGACAAAGTCTCACTATGTAGCCCAGGCTGGCCTCAAACTCCTGGGTTCAAGTGATCCTCCTGCCTCAGCCTCCTAAGTAGCTGGGACTTCTGGCGTGTGCCCACCATCCTGACTATGCAGTCTTTTCTGTCTTTACAGTTAAACGTCTCACTTTAAGTTGGTGACGCGGAGGCTCCCTGCTGCTTTGTGGCGCAACTGCCGAGCTCCTGACCTCGCCTGAGGCAGCGGTGGGAAGGCGATGGTGGTAGCTGCCATGCCATGGGGGAGCGGGTAGGGCAGGGGCAACAACCCCAGGGACCTGGCCGGGGGTTTTGGAGGTGGAGCTGGGTACTCCCATGCAGACCTGGCGGGGTGTCTCTCATAAGACTGATGAATTTATTTTACCAACTGGAGTTCATAAAACCCGGGCAGGTTTGAAGCGGCCTCCCTGACCTCTGCAGGACGCTGCACTTGGGCAGGGCATGGTCTGCGGCTGGGACTAAAGGAAACTGGGCACATGGCCTGGTCCAAACCAAGAGATGCAGAGACTGAACAGCTGACAGGCAAGGGGCGCCGCGGGCCGGCGCTGAGCTCCCAGGCATTGCTCTAGGGTGCGTTTGGCGCTTTCACTGAGAAACCATGCGGGGGCAGCAGACGGGCTGCACACAGCCGGCCGGAACCCTGACGGGCATGCTGTACAAATTACAGGGGGCCTGGAGGGCGCTGCGGGCCGACACTTCCCGCCCGTGGCACCGCACGGCCACCAGCAGCGCGTGCAAGGCCCCTCGCTCCCCCGTCACCGGAGCCGCCTGCGGGAGTCTCGCTAGTGAGCCAGGCTGGTCTTCCTTTCTCCGGCCGACAGCTAACCTGAAGAATCGGAGACTCTGATTGCTGTGAAGAAGATCACAGCAACGCGGATCCCCAGGACCAGCAGCGGAAGCCAGAACCCTCTGTGGCTCAGGGGCCCACATGCTTCTCTGCTCCCCGGAGACGATCTTGCACCCGCCTGTTCTCTCCCCGCCTCTGAACCGCAAAGCCACTTACTCCAGGACTCAGGTCATGCCTGTCCTCAGTCCTCTATCACCAAATTTGTTTTTTGTTTTTTTGTTTTTTTTTTGTGGTACTGGGGATTGAACTCACGACCTTGTGCTTGCCAAGCAGGCGCTTATGCCACTGAGCTATATCCCCAGTCCCATGAAATTTGTTCATAATCATCTGAAACTGTAACATGCCCCTGGACTCTAAATAAAGGGTAAGAATGGAACCAAAGTCCTAACTCCAATGTAAACATAAGCCGGTGTCTCAAGCTACTCTTGGTGTTTTGTTTTGAGACAGGGTCTCACTATGTAGCCCAGGCTGGCCTCAAATTTGTGGTGATCCTCCTGCCTCAGCCTCCTGAGAGCTGGCATGTGCCACCACGCCCAGCTTGGCATTTCATTTGTATTGAAAAAAGAGATTATTATAGACTCACATGCCAGGCGTGGTGGTGCACACCTATAATCCTAGCACTGGGGAGGCTGAGGCAGGAGGCTTGTTGCAAGTTTGAGACCAGCCTGGGCTACAAAGTGAGCTCAAGGCCAGCCTGAATTGTATAGTAAGACCCTGTCTCAAAAACACACACACAAAAAAAAATTAAACTCACATGCTTTGGCAAGAAATAATATAGGGGGACCCTCTGCATCCTTCCACACCTGCACCCCAGCGGTGACCTCTTGCAGAACGGCAGGCATCACGACGGCAGGCGTCACAGAGGCGGCTGATACTGGCGCTGGAGACCACAGGATCCCTCCCGCCGCATCCCCCAGCTGCCCAAGTATGGGTCTTCAAGAGCTGGCTGTGCCATGCGGCCTGGGCACTGCGGCTGCTTGTTTTACTGCAGACATCTGTAAGGTCTGCGGCGCTACGCACTGGGGTGTGAATGTGCATTTCTCTGGTGGCTGGAGAGGCTTCCCCGTGTATTCATGCACCACTCGTACACCCTCCGCGGCCAAATCTGCCTCCTGCGTGCATTCTGAATGAGCAGTTTGCTTTTATTTTTTTACTTTTTTAGAAATTTTTGTCTTTTTGAGACAGGGTCTTGTTATGCAGTTCAGGCTGGCCCAGGCTGGTCTCAAACTTGCAATGATCCTCCTGGATTACAGGCATGCGCCACCATGCGCAACTGTTACTGGGGACTGAACCCGGGGTCTTCACACTGAGCTACATCCCCAGCCCTTCTTTACTTTGAGACTGGATCTCACTCAGTTGCCAAATTGCCATAGCTGGGCTTGAATTTAGGATCCTCTTGCCTCAGCCTCCCAGAGTACTAGGATTAGACAGAGGTGCGCCATCACGCCCACCTTTCCCAAGTTTTTATTATGAATGGCTGTTAGATTTTGTCAAATAATTGTCTGCATTGACTGACATGGTAAATTACATTTTCGGATATTAACCTAGCCTTGTATCCTTGGTACCAACCCCACTTGGTCACAGTGTAAAGGTGTGTAATTTTTTACATCCTGCTAAATCTTAGCTAATATTTTGCTAAGGGGTTTTGTGTCTATATTTCTTTTCTTTCTTTCTTTCTTTTTTTTTTTTTTTTTTTTTTTTTTTTTTTTTTTTTTTTTTTTTTTGTCTTTTTGAGACAGGGTCTCGCTATGCAGTTCAGGCTGGCATTGAGCTCACTTTGTAGCCCAGACTGGTCTAGAACTTGCAACAACACTCCTGCCTCAGCCTCCCGAGTGCTGGGATTACAGGAGTGTGCCACCACACCCAGCCTATGTTTCTTTTTGCCCTATACTCTTTGTGCTTGGTTTTGGCTTGGGGTAAGAATGCCCTTCCAAAACGAGTCAGAAAGTGTCCCTCCCCTCCCCTCCCATTTTTCTGCAAGAGAATCCATGGAATTGGCACAGATTCTCCAAGTTCTCAATAGAATTCTCCAGCAGAGCCTGGGGACAGTTTACAAGTCAGGCGCAGTATTTTCTTAGCTGTCACAGAGCTACTCAGATGATCTACCTCTTGCATAACTCGTGGTGGTTTGTGCTTCAGGGCCACAGGCCCAGGTTGCGCCTGGTGTGCCAGGGTGTCCGCTGCTGTGGTCCCCCTCACCCCTTGGACTTTGCCACGTCTCCCCGCCTATAGGGCCTGCTCTGCACTTCGTCTGCGTTTCTGAGAAACCAGCTGTGTCCTAACCCATCTCTCCCAGGGTAAAATGCTTTTCCTCCCGCTGCTTCCAAGACCCAGCGTCTTTATTCCTCAAGTGTCTTCGTGTGGATCTCTTGGGGTTTATCCTGGTTGAGGTTTACACATCATTTCTTCTTTTTGAGATGAGGTCTCACCACATTCCCCAGGCTGGCCTCAAACTGCTGAACTCAAGGGATCCTCCCGCCTCAGCCTTCTGAGCAGCTGGGACTCTGGGCACAGGGCATCGACCTCTGCCTGGTCTGCACCCAGGTGTGTGCAGACACCCCAGGTGTGTGTGGACGTCCCAGGATGCCCCCGCCTCCCCCGGCTGCCTGTGACAGTTTTCCAAGCATATCCCCGAGGTGAGATGAGGTGGGGCCGTGCTTCCTTCCCGACATCGGGCTCGATCTTAGGGGAAAGCTCTCCTTCCTCGAGCTCATCCTGGCGCCCGTGCAGCGGAGGCTGCGGAGGCTGCAGGGCGCTAGCCGGGGGCTCCCCCTGCCGAGCTACGCAGGCCGGATGCCCGGGACCCCAGTCAGCGTGTGGACTCAGCATCCCCGTGCACCCGCCACGCACGGGAACCCTGACAGAAAGGGCCGGGTGCCCACCACCGTGAGAGGCCGGGACGCGACTCCCGTCCCCAGTCGGGTTGTGCAAAGCCCCCCCCCCCAGTGCCCAGACGGCTCCGGCCCCTCCCGTGTCCCCCCTGCTCCAGCCTCCTCTCCCCCTCCGGCCCCCTCCAGCCCCCTCAGCTGCCGCTCCTCCTCCGTTCTCCCTGGCCGGGCTTTCTGCTTCTTTTTCCTGGGTTCACTCTGGGGACACGGCGTGGCCCACGCGCGGTCTCTGGGGCGCAGGCCTGGGACGCACGGTGACAGGCCCCAAGCCATGGTCGAGGACACCGCCCCAGGCGGCGACGGTGGCACAGTGGTCCCCGGCCTCCCCGAGGACCGCGCATGGAGGAGGCGCGGGTGTCCTGCGCGGGGGCTACCGCTGCAGGAAGCGCAGGAAATGGACGCGGACCGGCGCTGGGGCGCGGGCAGGACGGACGGCCGCACAGCCGCGCAGGCCCGGCCTCGGCGCCACCACGGCGACCGCTTACCTTCACCTCCTTCTCGATGTAGTCGCTCAGCAGCCTGTCCGGCTCGACGCGCTCGGGCAGGGACAGCACCACGGTGTGCAGGGGGCGCCTCTCTGTCACCTTCTCATGGGCTTTCTTGTCTCTACTCTTTTCTCCTTTTAGGAATACTCGCTTAAACGGCGACACAATCCCGGGCTGCGGGCAGAAACGGCAATGAGGGGAGGTCATTATTCAGGGACCCCGGGCTCACAAACCACCGGGCGGCGCTGCCCGGAGCCCGAGGGACGAGGACGGGGCTGCTCTGGAGACTCCGGCCGGTGAGCAGAGCACAGGAGCTGCCTGCCCACCCACAGTTCGCTGGCTTTTATTTCCAGTATTTTATACATGAAATTTGCCATAATTTTCTTTTTTTTTTTTTGAGACAGGGTGTGTGTATGTAATTCGGGCTGGCCTTGAACTCACTGTGTAGCCCAGGCTGGCCTCCAACTCGAAGTGACCCTCCTGTCTCGGCCTCCTGAGTGCTGGGATGACAGGCGTGCGCCCCCACACTCAGAAATATTACATATTTCAAAAGGACTAAGACGGGTGCATGGGTGCACACCGGTAATCCCGGCTACTTAGGGATTTCCTGAGGCAGGAAAATCACAGGTTCGAGGCCAGCCCGGGCAACTTAGTGAGGCCTCGCCTCAAAAATACAAAAAGAACTGTGATGAGCTCAGTGGTAGAGCAACTGCCTCACATGCACAAGGCTTGGGGTTTAATCTCAGTATCCCCCCCAAAAAAAGACAAAAACTACAGTTGATGTCTCTCCCTGCTGCCCCTTAAACTGGGACGCAACAGAAAGCTCGGCAGGTTAGAGAACGGCACCCGCGGAAGAAACCCCGTACCAGAGAACAGCGGGGAGCAAGCACTTTCGGAGGACCCGCCAGGCACCAGCCCGGGGGTGCGGGGTTCCCCTGTACGGCAGGACGGGGCGACGCAGAGCCCAGGCCGCACCCTGACCCTCCGCAAGCCCGCTCTGCGCCCCGACGATGGGGACAGATGGGGACAGGCAGGGGGCCGGGCCGCCGCAGGGGGGGCTCTGGGGGGAGGGGCAGCTCAGCGGCGGTGCGTCAGACGCCCCGGCGGAGAACTGCAAGCTGGACAGGTCCCCAAGACTTGGGGCTGTTTCTCCACAATGTAAAACATTCCGACCCATCAGCCCCACCGACAACTACCACGCTCCCGCGGCGGGCCGGGCGGACCGCTCCCTTTCCCTGCGGCTCACCTCCAAGCCGCGGCAGGAGGGGGAACCGGCGCGACCCCGGGGAGGTCACAGACTAAAACTAGGCATTACACTCGGCCCGGCCCTGCCCCTTCTAGGTATCTGCCTGTAAGAGCTAAAGACATCGCGTTACAGTGACCCGTGCACACCCAAGTTGATAGCGGCAAAATTCCTAACAGCTAAATCGCGGAAGCGGCCTAGGTGTCCATCAACAGACCAGCGGATAAAGGTGTGGTGTCTACACACAACGGAGTACCACTCAGCCATAAACAAGGGTAAACTTGAGTCGCATGTGGGAAAATGGATGCACTTTGAGACCGAAAAGCTACGTACAATGAATCAGACACACAAGCTTGGCTTCTCTTACGTGTGAAACCCAAACTATAAATAATTTAAAGAGCAAAACAAAAGTGGGATATAGGAAATAGATCTTTTGCAAATGGACAGGGAGGCCGAGCATGGTGGCACACTCTGTAATCCCAGCACT